GTGCTGCAGCAGGTAGGACTCCTGCATGTGGAAGAAGGGACACTCTGAGCAGACAAAGACCTGGGTGGACATCTCCACTGTGGTACCTACAGAGAAACACAAAAGTTACAGTCTGTTGTTTCCTGACATCTCCCTTTTTTTGTGCAACAAAAAAGAGAGAAAAACTCACCTTAAAGTGTAGATGCCTCATCTAAAACTTTAAATGATAGTTATTAAAAGTGAGACAGCAAACCTTGAACAGCTTTAAAGTGACTAACTGATTTACCTTGGGTGCTGAGGTGCTCAAGGCATTTGTGGTGTTGCAGGAGAGACTTGAGGTCATTGGGATTGGAGAGCACCTGCAAGCAGTCCTTCAGCACAGAGGGGGCAGAGGTAAGCCAGGAAACCGTCTGTTTGATTATGGAAAAAAAAAAGATTCAGTCAGTCAGTCAGACAACTGTTTTGAAGAGAAGGAGGGGGAATGGTGATTAAATATGAGACGTGACCAAATAGTCTCGGGAACCAGCTCACTAAAATAAAATAACTTTATCTGATTGAAATTTGCCCAATCTCACCTTCAAGATCATCTTCTCATGCATCACTGGACTGATTTCACTCTGGCTGCTGGTTTTTTACCTGGCTTCTTGGGAAACCTGTTCTGTCCCTGTTTACTTACAGACTGGATCTTTGTTGAAGGATCACAGTGTGTTAAAACAGTAATCCTGTCATATCATGTGATATTCATTCAGGTGAGTTAGTGAAGTGTTGGGGAGTACTGAGTGAAGACACAGTCCTACTAACAATCAGCCAACTGCAACTAAATGCAACACTGTTACAGCAGAGCTGTGCACTGACAGTTTTCACCCTGTGGGTACAAATTCAAACGTGTAAAATCCAGTGAATGCTGGTAAAAATCAGGGAGGTTCCTGGTAATTAATTTCTTAATCGACCAAACAATGAAAAAAATACTTGATTAACTGCTGAGTAGTCGAAAACTAAGAAGAAAAAACAAACACTGAAAAGGCTAAAGATAGGAAAAATGTATGTATATCTTTAATACTACATGCACAAACTACTAATACTGTTACTCATCTCCAGTACCTTTGCTATTGGTGACTGCTGCCCAACCATTCACCAGTGTTTGATGTACAGAACAGTATTTTATAATAATAATGAATCTTATATGGCCAATATTACGCTTTCATGTAGGCCTACCTGACCGAGGTCTGGCACCGGCAGGAGTCTTTCTAATTTGGAGAGAAACTCCCACACAAGCAGCTGCATGTCCGCATCATAGCTGAGGCCATATTCTGTGGGGAAAACCTCCTGAGAAGAACAAACATTAACAGCTAGTTATAAAAAAAAAGTTAAAAGGAAGAAGATAAGAGATACATGGATTGGCTACATCTAAGAGCACTTGCCTGGTAAAAATGTTCCCTCTCTGCTGGGTCTTTCAGGAGTGTTTGGGTTAGCTCAACAAAGATGGCCTCTTCTGCATCCACCTCTGCATCCCCACTCTGAAAGAAATCATTACAACTGAGATCTTCGTCACTATCAGACCAACAACAATGATAAAGGACGAAAAATGATGTCGGAAAGCTAACATTTATATTTGATCATCCACTGCATATTTAATGGGTGATTTAGAATCACCATTCTCCCTCTCTACCGAATATACAGATTAAACTAATCCATACCTCTCAACCAGTAAAACGTTCCACATGACACTAACAGCAACACAAGCCCTGAATGTGATCAATCCACCGCAGCTACATTACTGGTAATACTGATAAAATACGTTGTCTCTGAACGCAGCTTTGCTCATTGCATTCAGAAAGCTCTATTTTAACTCTACCAACAGACTACGCCTGTTTCCAAAATGCATCGCCTTTCACAGTTTGTTATCGGACTTCTGATGCTGGATTTAGAGGTGAATTCAGATGAAATGTTTCCTCTGCGAGGCCTTCACTCACTGAACTTTTAACAGTAACACAACTTTGGACCTGGACTTTGGACTTGTGCAAAATGGTGCTAACACTTACTCCTGTGTACCCCAGTGGGTGGATTCGCTCTAGGTGAGGCTGTACACACAGGATGTTGGCTGTTTCCTCATTTCTGCACAGCTCAAGTATAACCTGAAGCAACAGGAAGGTATTCATTCAGCTACTGTCACTGGATTA